GACGCGAAGCCGATGGACGCGCGCCCTCGCCCGTCGATGGCGGGGGTGAAGGGTGTGCAGGCGGTGTGCAGCACCTCGACGTTCGCCAGTGCGACGGGTTCGGCGCTGGTCGCGGCGGTGAAGGCGGCGACCACTGACTGCATCAACTCCCTGTTCAGTGTCTCTGGCGCGGACGCGTACTCGATTTTCCGGGAGGCGCAAATGGTGTCCGTGGCCGACGCGCTGCGCTCGGCCGCTGCCACCTACCAGGGTAACAACAGCGGCAGCACTGCTCAGCTGGTGCTGTTCCTGCGCGCCGGGTACTACGTGCACTACTACGACAGCAGTGTCGGTGCGTACGGGACGGCGCTGTCCACGGCGATCAAGGGCGCGCTGGACACGTTCTTCGCCAACAGCCGCGCCTTCGACGTGACCGACGCGAACGGCGAGACGCTCTCCGATGCCGTCACCCTGATCGACAGCGCGGAGGAGAACGCCCGCTACCTGAGCGTGATCAAGCGCCTGCTGAACGGGTACAACTCGTCGTACGACGCCTCGTGGTGGATGCTGAACGCCGTCAACAACGTCTACACGGTGCTGTTCCGCGGTCACCAGGTCCCGGCGTTCGTGTCCGCGGTGGCGGCTGACCGCAGCGTGCTGGACACGCTGTACAACTTTGCCAGCTCGCACAAGAACCTGCTGGGTGGGTCGCAGTCCTACCTGACCTCCAACGCCGGCCGTGAGCTCGGTCGGTTCCTGGGTGACGCCGCGATCCGTCCGACGGTCAAGCCGCTCGTGATCGGTCTGCTCAGCCAGAGCTCCATCACCGGCCCGACCGCTCCCCTGTGGGTCGGTGTCGCCGAGATGACCGACTCCTACGACAAGGCCGCCTGCGCCGACTACAACACCTGCAACCTGTCGGCCCGGCTCATCAGCACCGTGCTGACGACGACCTACACCTGCAGCAGCAGCATCCGCATCCTGGCGCAGGACATGACGGCCAGCGAGCTCAGCAGCAGCTGCAACAGCCTGC